GCAGTTGGGTGGGGCAACCCAAGGTCTTCAGAGTTCTCATCTCACCAGCATCTGCCTCTTGACCTAGACATGGAACTGCTTTGCTTCCATCTTGCCTTAATCTGATTTCTACCTATTTATTTCTCCATTTTGGAATGGGAAGGTTTACACTATGCCATTGTATGTTAGAAATACTTGACATTTTTTATTATGTCAGGGTTCAAAGCTGAGTTTGCTTTGAGCCTTGCACGATACTTTAAAAGTAACTTTCCAGGAATGCTGAAACTATTAAGATGCTGGAAACTCTTACAGGTGAATTAAATACATTTTGCATAAAAAAGATGCACATGATCCTTTTGGTGGCCAAGGGCAGAATGGTATGGTTGGAATTGAGAACATCCTCTCCAAGTTTCGTAACCACATAGGGCTTTTGGAAAGTGGTTGGATTCTGGGTTCACATCTGAATGTGCTATTAGGAGGTGGACCTGGTCTGAAGAGGTGAGTCCCTGGAGTGTGATATGGAATGGCGGATCTCTTTATCTTCTCCCTCTCTCTCTCTGCATCCTGCCCCCATGAATGTGAGCAGCTTTTCCCCCTCTGGGCCCTGCCTCCGTGCTTTCCTCTGTAGGAGCCATGTGACTTGGCCTAAAACTTCTGAAACTATGAGCCAAGATAAATCTCTTCTCCTTTTATGTGTGTCACCTATCATGTCTCAGCAATGAGGAAAGGGAGACACTAAGCATGGAATCCTGTTACTTGGGGGGAAAATGGATGGATGTGTACAACATTTAAAAACAAGTCAGGCCAAAAAAAAAAAAAAAAAGATAAACCCTGTGTAATCTTACTCATGAATGGAACCTGAAAAAGTCATCCAGCAGAAGTTGAGAGAATACATGTGGCTGCTGGAGACTGGGAAAAGTAAGGGGAAACAGGAAGAGGGAGCAATCTAACAGTGCGTACAGTGTTGTGGAATAGAAGAAATAAATTCTGGGGCTACATGGCATAGCAGTGTGAGTATCATAAAAAATAGTGCATTCTGTATCTCAGAATAGTAAGAAGAGAGGGATTTGAGTGGATTCACAGTGAAGAGAAAAAAAGATAAAATTTTAAGGTGATGAATGTGCTAAAATTATCCTAAATTGATAACCACTCAATGTATACAGGAATTGACCTATCACATTGTTGCTCATAAGTATCTAAAATATTATTTATCATTCAAATATTTTTTTAAAAATTTACAACACATGATCTAACATCCCAGAGGTTTTAGCACCTTTCATTAATAACTATCAAATGCAGGACAAAGAAAAGCGTGCAAATTACATGGCTTCCTGGGTTTGGAGACCAGAAGAAAGGCAACTAAAAGAAACAGTGAAATCTGAGAAAAAGAGTCTATTCTGGGGTCCAAGTTCAGCATAGATGCAACAGAGATCCAAAAGCAAATAGACTAGAGGCTGTAAATAATTTTATTATTTCATTGTTCACTTTCTGGATATATTTCTTTTTCCATAAGATGTGAATTCTTTCCTTCAACCCAAGATACATTCAATTAAAATAAAGTCAATCACTGCAAAATAACAAAACTAAACTAAGTATCAATTTTTATCAATGTCCCTCAGCCCTATGCAGTGTAGGTTGGGAAAATTACCAAAAGTATATCAGGACTAAGAGTTGATTCTGTCACCAAATAAGAAGTTGAATAACAGGTCTGGGATGTAGTTCAATGGTTCCAGCACCTGCCTCACAAGCACAAGGAACTGAGTTCAATCCCAGGTACAAAAAAAAAAAAAAATTGAAAGAGTTGACTCATCACTCAAAATGAGACATGAATTGAAAATGGACCAATCATTGTAAGAATGAAAGGGAACTATTAAAACCCTTTAGATCTGAACAATGTAAGTAGGGTTATTAAGAGATATTTATTCAAAGAGGGAAAGTCTGGGAAAATAGCATTAATGAAAACCAAAACATGACTGAATATGCAGATACTTTTTAGTGAATGATTCATTTCACTACTACTTTTAGACTAATTATCCATTTATTCATTTGACATGTTAATTAGATTAAGTGGTTGAAATGCTTCCTGATGCTGTATCACATCATGTACTATCTGGCACATAGTAGGCACAAAATATTGTGTTATTTTCTGATTTGAAAGCAACCTTGAAATTAAACTGTTTCATTTATCTGGGCAAGGCAATTTACAATTTGTTCTCCCCAAGGGCTCAAAATCCAATTACACCAAACAGATCATTAAAAGTCACACATGGTGTCCTAAAAGATAGATGTTAAAATGTAATGAGAATTACATCTATTAAAAGTGTATATGTATGGGGCTGCTATGTTACCTGTGCTTCCTTGTTGGGGCTTTTCTCATCCATAGAAGCCTTGTACAATCCATCAATCAGAAGAATTAATGGTGTGTCTACTGATTCAAGTCTAATGGAGATGATCAAGGCATCATAAATTGTATTAGGGTAAATAAAGCCTGCAAATTGGGACAGCTAGCAGAGCAATCAAATTTCACAACTACCTGCTTGCACTGGAAAATGTGGCAATGATAAACAGCAGAGGTGAAAGCAAAAAATGTCAACTAGGAAAGTGCACCTACTCTCAGTAACAGAGTGGAGCAGATGTTTTGGGCCTTCTGAGAGGAAAAGTGAGGCACCTTGAAGGGAAGGGACTCTAAAACAATCAGCCACCATAGCTCAGTAGTTCGAGATAGGCCTCCAGGTGAAATGCCAGCCATAAAGATCTTACTGTTCTGGGTACGGCCGGCCTATCTCTGCGGTGCCAAACACTGTGCTTCTATCTTACATTCATTCCACCATTCTTACTTTTCCCATCTCTGTTAAGTAGTATCAGACATACAATATCTTAGTTGCCACTGCATCTGAGATAGGTAGGGCTTGCAAACAGAGCCTGAACAAAAGGATATGAAAAAAATTTTACCTAAGTCATTTTTTGGGAAAAATTACATTTCTTGACAAAGGATATGCAAGAGGGAGGTCAGATATTATCTTTGGGCCTTGTGGTGAAAGAAAATCTTGCCCGGGGAGCTGCAGGGATATGAAGATATCCCAAGGGACACACACAAGACCAAGGTGGAAGAAGTACAATGGCGAGAGGAGACTAAGAGTCAACTCCTTCACTGACTTAAGTAACTCCCAGAAACACTCAACTGTAGCGCTCTTATGCTAGGAGTCTTTATAAACAATTGTCATTGTTTAAATCACTGCTTCTCCATTATTCATATGCACAGAAATCACTTGAGTATCTTCTCACCCTTCAGACAGCAACTGCAGAGAGCCAGGGTAGTGGGTGAGAGTCTGAATATCTAAGAAACTCTTTGATAATGGCCATGTACCTATTAAGTAACCAGTTTCTGAGACATTTTAAATGTTGGATTCTGTTTCTCCCAGTCAAAAGCATACCCAGTGGTATCTCTGAATAAACATCGAGAATCTTGAAAGTTTAACACACCATGAAGATATGCACAATGAACTTTAGCAACCCACTTGCTAAAAACATCTATACTTGAGATTATCGTGTGTGAGGGTTTGGAGGTCATTATAGTCTAACTTCAAGTTTTAGTCCTAAGAGTAACACATTGTGTGATCCTGCTGGAAAATTGTTTAACCTCTGTGAGTCTTCACTTGTCAGAAGCGATGCCATGTTTCTCTATTTCATATGTTTGATTTGAGGATTCATTGAGGTGATAGGATAAAAGCTTAAGGGGAAAAAACAAGTTCTGTTTCTATGATGTTACTGGTAGGATGGCCTTCTTCATTCACAATCTTCACTCATGCCATAGATACCTAGTTAATCAGGTGCCGCATTGGCCAGATATGAAGGGGTTTATGGAAATCAGCACAAAGACTTTCTCAGTAATTGAATTGCTGTGACAAAAGTCTGTGATGCTTATATCAGACCAGCACAAGCTTAATTGGAAGTCTGAAAGAATAATCGAAATTGTACTTCAATGTGACTTGTTTGCCTTTAAAACTTAGTTGACTTTTTTGATGAGAGAGATTTTTTTTTTTAATTCAAAGACTATCTCCTATCCATTGCTGGAATAGTGCCAAATGAAATAAAATTGTTGTTAGCAGATTGGATTAGTTGTAGACCAGATCTATTTCCTATTGTGGTAGAAAGGTGGGAGGCAATGTAATTTTAACTTAGACTGCAAATAGGATGTAGGCACTCACTATTTTTCTCAAAGTAGCAATATGCTTTCTGGACGTGTAGCATTTAAAGACTGCATGAGATTTTTATATTTATAAATCTAGATATTTTGATTAAAAATATTTCTGTGATATAGGGATCCTTAGATATGATTTTGTACTGTACCTATCATAATCCTGAACAAGAAAAGATAGCAATTATTTCCCAGGAATACAGACCAGGATCTTTGAGCAAAACTTTTCATAGATAAGAATAAATCTTAGATATATCCAGCAGAAAAAGAAAACCAGTTTTAATATTACATGTTCTCTTAACATTAGGGAATTTTTTCATATATCTTCAAATATACAACTTCAAATACACTGAGACTATCCTTTACTTTTTAGTACTACTGCTGTAAAATCATTTCACAAATATCTGGAAATAGATGGTTAAATATTTAGAATTCTTTCTTAGAATGGGCATGAGTTAAATTTTTCTTTATTTCAGTGGGAATGTAGCACAGTAATTGAGAATATGGACTTCTAAGTTTGCTGGAAATGTTGTTTAGTCTATTTAGTCCTTAGTTATGTAAATTTGTGCAAGTTTCATACTTTTTTAAGACTCAATTTCCTTGCATATTAAATCAGAATAATAATAATAATATTATTTCACAACATGTTGAAAAGATTCAGTTTGATAAAGCATATAGAGTACTTGGCATAAGTTTAGCACTTAGCAAGAATCCAGTAAATTTTAGGTAGCATATTCAAACCTGAAAAGAAGCTACATTGTTTTCATTTTATTTCTTTTTTATATAATATTCACAGTGATAAACTCTTACAGAAAAACAAGAAACTTTCTCTGGAAAGCAGAACCTGAGTCAACAGCTAGTGCATATGTACTTAATTTTGGAGTTTTATCCTAATAAATACGAGTAGAGATGTGGAAGTATGAAAAGAGGAAGAGAGAAAAAGGGAATGGAACTGTGGGTAAACAAGGCCCAGGAAATCTTCCAAGGACTATACATAACATCGGAAGAAGAGCTTAAAGTCAACTGTTCCAGTCTCCCACTATTTGGGTTTCAATAAGTCATTAGCATACTCATACAGGTTTGTAGTGTGTAAGAACGAGTTTATTTGCTCTAGCAGGTAGCCAGGAGTAGTACCAGAGAATCCTTAGAGTTGAAAGTGAATGTTAGAGAGCACAGTTAAGATATCAGATTACACTTATGCAAGTCTGGCCCCTGTAAGATTTGAAGGTGGTAAGAGCACATGAGGAAGGATGAAGGGTACTGTACTTCATACAGGATTCTTATAGAAGCCTTATGATCTCAGTGACCCTAGTGACTTGTGAGCAATTCATTCACAGTTGACTCCATCATGAAGCCCAACATTTGAGAGTCAATGTCTTAAATAATTCTCTGTAAGGTGAGGACCAATGCTTAAATCCGTTCATTCTAATTGATCTGTAGTTGATGCCTGCAAGCCCCAAAATGGTAATAACTAAACTAAACAGGAATAAAAATGATTCTCCAGGTGAGATGAGATTCACGTTTTGAAGAACACCACCTTCTTCTAGTTCTTCAAGGAAACAACAAATCAGCATAGCTTCCTCAATCTCTCGAGTGTCGGGTTGGTGATCTTGATGGAAGCAAAGTGAAACAAAACAAGACACCCTTCTCTTTCAAAATAGCTTCCAAAGGTTTGTGTTCATGTCTCTAAATGAGTTAATATTACTTACCTTTGTATTCTTTCATTTTTAGTTTTTTGGTGGTGTTTTTAAGGAAAAAACAATGCTTTGAAAAGCTTGCTTTTGGAGTCTTAGGAAACAATAAGAATGCATAAATATGTTTGAAATTATGGCATTATTTCTAGGGAAAATTTATAAAGTAAAAATCTAATTGCATGATTCCTTTGTTTTTGTCGTTGTTTGTTTGTTTTTTAGTTTGTTTTGTTGAGGAGTGGAGACTGAACCCAGGGCTTACTGCATACTCAGTAAGCCTATATGTGTTGGTGAGTATTGCTTTTATCAAAAATTGCCCAATTATTAAAACTCAGAGTCACACAGATGAATATTTTCAACCTTCCAAATAAACAATAAATTTCCCTTTGAAATCTATTTAGTCTCCAAGGTGAAAGTGGGTTCCACACAAAACATCTTTCACATTATAAATTGTATTAAATTAATTGAAAAGTAGATAAACATTGATAATAAAACAAGAATGAGAAACAGTGAAAGGTAAATACTATTTAAGTGTTACTCAAATAGACATTCAATAAAACCACATCTTTCAGACAACATAATTATTTGCATCATAAAAAATTCTAGTGATTGAAGTTTAAAATATAGATTAAAAAGCTTCAGTTGGACTTCAAATCAGCCTAAAAAGAAATTTCCATCTTAATAAAATAGGAGAAAGTTTCCTTTTAAATATTAGAACTTATTTTGTTAAAAAATGCGTTTACTGTTATTGATAAAGACCTAAAGTGGGTCTTTCAGAAGAGGGAGACTCTCCCATTTTAAATTGCATCTAATGCAGCAGTGAAGATAAAATACCAAAGCATCCAGAAAAAAAGTGAAGACTTTCTCAGGGAGTCACATTTCCAAACACCCAGAATTTTGGGTCTATCCTTTGACAAAATAGCAACTCCTGATATTTTACTTTTTCCTTCTGGTATTGTGATGTCATGATAATTCAGTCTTCCCTTTAAACTATTTTTTTTAAAGCCAGGAAAATAGAATATATCACATGGATTTTTTGGGACTTCAAATCTTAGTTATAAACTTTTGTACATCTTCTGCAAGATCCCTTATATGATATGCAAAGATACTATGATTTTAGCCACCTAGTTAATATTCTCATGGCTTAAAATGACTTTCTACAGTCGAATTTATTTTACACTCTTCAGTTACTACTACAAATCAACACCACAGGAATTGATGCATTGTGTGTCTCCAAATTAAATAGCAAACACCACTGTTTGTGAACTTTTTAGCCAATTAATAAAAAATTGTTCTCACCAGAAAGATTTAAATTATCCAGGAACATTTGCGCAGGCCTGGAATAGAAACTGGGAAAGGAAATAAATAATACAGATCTTTGCTTTTACAATGAAAATTAGAATTGATTATGCACTAAGAGATAAAAGTAGAAGGACCAAGTGTGTTTCTCTTCCTTTTTAAAAAAATCCTTCTCCACCAAATGAGCAAAATAGCACTCAGTGGCATTTCATTGTTAACAAAATTTTTTTATCGAAACTATAATTTAATATTTAAGTATCTAATTTACATGTGACAAGATATCATATTCAAAAAATTAAATTGCAACTAGAAAACTATTAACCACTAAAAACAATACCAAACACAACCGAAGCATTTATAGGAAAACAACAGCTAGAATTTGAATTGGAAAAAAAGGTTTCATATTTGGCTCATTAAACAAAGCATCCATTATAATCTGTAAAACAGCATCTTTTCTAATTCATCAAGAGTTTACCCTTTATAGTGTGAATAACATGTAAAGATAGATTCAATGACTGCATATGCACACATGAGTGTATAAATATATCGCGGACATACACTTGTGTGTTGGTTTAAAGACTTTATATCTAGTGATAAGTGGCTGAACTTTGGAAGGTGCTGAAATCCGTATTTCTACAAGTCCTTCGGCTCAATAATACTTTTTTAAAAACAGAAATTACATAAAATACTGTATTTTTATTAACTGAATATTTTCTTAAGCATAATAATAGACAATGAAAGAATTGCACTTATTGTAAAGGTACAGTAGTGTTAGAATGCAGCTCAGCCATCAAAGATCAGGAACTGTATTACTGACAATAAGTTGTGCATTATATGCAAAGGTGACGCTGGCCATTGAAATTAAAATGAGAGCAACTAGTTACAGAACAAACGGGGATAACAGAAGAAAACATGCACTACTCCTACTTTAATGTGAAACTAATTTCTCCCCTGAAACCTCCCTTTGATCTTCCTTTTTGAGAAACAGATTCTGCACCCTTGGCAACACAGTCGGCTAGGACTTTCCTCTTCAAATTTCCATTCACTGTCTCTGAGTGTGCTGTTCCAGTGTCATCTCCTTAAGCTGCCGTAGAAATCTGGAGCATCTAGAATATGACAGTCTCTTGGTTACATTTCACTGAGCCTCGAGTTCCCCTTCAGTTCTGTATAAATAGGGTCCACTATTCATCTTCTTCTGGTTCCTGTGGTAACTCAGCTATTTGTTCCTTTAAACAATCACTGAAGAATCTGAGGATTGTGCTGTAGAGATGATACTTGCTCTTGTCTGACACATTATGACCTTCATCTGGGTAGACCTAAGACATGCAGAGGAAGAATGATTTCAAATCACCAAAGCAGCCGTTATCCCTTAACACTGATGCTTTTAGCCATATTGCTGCAGGACTTTACAAATAACATCTAACTAAAGGCTAGGAAGTTAGCACCATGTAGAGCACTTATTTCATGGCACTGGGTTAGATCACCAGTATGGGCAAAAAAAAACAACAACAAAAAAAATGGAGAGAAAGTAGTATCTAACCAAAACGAACTGACCTAATTAATTCCTCAGTTCTTTAAGCTAAACTCTTCTAAAGATTATACACATGCAAATCAGTATTTGAGACAAAATATTTTCCTTTGTTTTTAAATTCCTATCTGTTGTTAAAAAACAAGATTTTGCCATATTCAGGTTGGCTTAGATGGCCTCAACATTGTTCTCTCTGACTAAACTGTGGACAGTTTTTTCCTGACTATAGATAGCATTTTGACTTCCACTTCCTAGAATATTTACTTTAGAAAACATTCAGTTATATATGACTTTTCTACTCCTTTGACATTACTGTGTGTTTTCTTCCATCTTTTTGCCAGTTTCACAACCCAGACCATGTATTTCTTAAGCACATGGCAACCATCTATTTGAAATGTAAACATTTAAACAGGTAGCACTTTTATCTCCTTGTCTCTGTGACAAGGTAGGATTCTTGCTCCTACTTGAGGGAATCTCAGAAACCAGTATTCCTCATCCATCATAGGCCATAAATTATAAAATTGTAAAACTCATCTCAAAGACTTTTGTTTGGAAAGGGCACCCAGGGCACTGAGCTCTTAAAAGACCTCCTTGGGAATTATTTGCTGGGATTCATTTTCCATGTTGAGTTTTAAACAAACTCAAAGGCTGCTACAACTGTGACTCAAATGGGTCCGGTTACAGGGGAGACCTGTTGTGGTCCAGATGATGGTGGTTTTTCAGGAACAGGGAATGCAAGCATTATGGATTCATGGAAACTTCCAAAGGTATTTCAAAGGCATTCCTGGGGAGCCATGGGAGTACAGGACAAGGTCAGAGTCCCTATAAGTGACTTTGACTGTCGATTCATGGAGCTGTGAGGGACGCTGAAGCTGCAATGGCGATTCCAGGAAATCACAGATGCTGGCAAGGTATGAAATGATTACTCAGGTAAGCTGCAGGCACTGAACAGGACCAGCCAGAGAGAGCGGTATGTGGTCTGCTCCCAGCCTGGCTGTAGGTGCCAGGCTGCTCGAGTCCTTCAGAGCTCACATCACGTCCCCAAATACTCTGGGTACCGGACATGAAGCTACAGTATTTAATGTATACCTTGATTCGTCTTGGTCTTTCTGTGGTCTATTTCTTCCTTTATAAATGGACATATTTATCCTCACCCACTGCTGTAACTTGTAACTTCATGTATTTTACTTTTATAAGAGTTTACAACTGAGTTTTCAATGCATCTCACAGGAGACAGGACACAGACTTTTCACCAATACTGGCACTTTTAATATTTTTGTGACTCTTGAAGATGGACTGAATGTATTTTCCATTAAGAGATGGCTAGGACTCATTGGAAGCCCCGGGCAAAATACTACGGTTTGGATATTGAAAGTTCTCCAAAGGCCTGTGGGTTAAAGGCTTGGTCCCATGACTATGGAACTACTATAAGGTTGTAGAAGCTTTAGGAGGTAGGATCTAGTGGAAGGAGTATGTGTGCCCTTTGATTGCTTCTCAGCTGCTGTAAGAGGAACATACCTCATCCACCACACAATTTTATCGTGATATACTGTGCTGTCTCAGGCCCAAAGTGATCAGGCCAAGTGACCACAGACCAAATCTTTGAAACCATGAGCTGCAATACATTTATCCTCTTTATAAATTGATTATCTCAGATATTTTTGTTATAATAACAAATAGCTAACATAATTTGTTCTTCCAAATGCTAGAAAACTGAATTACTTTTTTCTTCTATGTCTCCTCCATCAGGTTGATAGTGTTTTTGTTTTGTTTTGTTTTTGGTAGCGGGAATCAAACTCAGGACCTTGTGCTTGTGAGACAGGTGCAGTGACACTGAACTAAATCCCTGGCTCAGGCTGATAGTTTTGATAGTTTTCATATTATCCTTCTACGCAGTGACCACTATAAAGCAAATCATTGATAAGTATTTATTGAGCATATGAATACACAGATATAAATGGTAATGTACATGGCACTTTATCCTCTCTTTTTTTCTTTTAATATTTTCCCCAAACATGTTTCTCTCCAATTTTTTATGAGTGACAGAAATTGCAAAGACAGACAGAAGTCAATATTCATAGTAACAATAAAAGTCTAAGAAGAAAAAGAAGGGTTTATGCAATTCACTTGCAAAGCATAAGCTGTTCCACATAAACATAGGCTGTTCTCAGTGCAATTAGAACCAATAACACAATCTTTTTATCTAAAGAGCACAATAGAAAATTATTTCTTAATAGAATAATAGCAAAATTGTAGTCTATATCATACAACTAAAAAAGGAAGGGAGAAAAAGACATTTGATACATACAGTTTGCATCCTGAATATTTTGCCAGGGCCTATGTTTCAAAGTCATCCCCAGGATGACACTATGGGAAGGTGGCACCAGTCTAGAGCTGAGGCCTAGTGCCAGGTCCCTAGGTCACTGGGGACTTACTTCCCTTGATTGTAAGAGCCTGGCTGTTTCTCAACTGTCTTTGCTCCCTGTATCCTGGCATGTCCTGTTTTATTCTTCCTTTATGTTTCAGCATGATGGGCTCTGCTGCCTCAATCCCATTCCAAATGAAGAGACAAATTGGTCAAGGACTGGGAAATCCCCCACTCTGAGCTAAAATAAACCTTTTTTTCCAAGTTTACTGTCTCACGTATTTGTCATAGTGACAGAAAGCTGACTAATGAAACATTCTTCTTAGAAAAAGGCTTACCTGCATTGTATAATTTACTCCAGCTTTTATTAGATGTTTGATTAATTCTGCTGAATGCTGGAAATGAACTTTCGCTGTAAGAAATTAAATTATGACATTTGAAGAAAATACATTTACTAGGATACAGAATTCTTCACATTATTTTTCAAAGAGAGGAAGTACTTTACATGTATTGTACATTTAAAGACTAATTTTATTTTTAACTTGAAAGCTGTTAGATATAATTATAACATTTTACTTTCACATTATAAAAATAAACCAATTTCATTGGAGTCACAACTAAAGCTTACATTTGTAGAGGATGGTTTTTAGGTTTAGTTTATTGTATATCAACTTATGTGTAATTGCATATTTTGCATATTATACATTTTTTTAACATAGTAGATGTGTTATGTGGTTATTAATGCAACAAAACTGATTTCTATTCCTTTGTGAGGATTACTAGGGCTCAGTCTCAGTTAGATACTGGCATTCTGCTTTATTACATTAAATTAAAACAGAATGGATCATGTTGGGAAAATAGAGTACACATCACATTACTCAAGGGCTAAATATTTAATGTAGAACATACTGGTTATTCCTGTTTCCTTCTCTCTTCCTTCTGCTGAAATAAAAAGTCCAAAAGCTGAAATAGACAGCCAGTAGCTCTGAATTTGGTAGATGCGTTGGCTGACCTAGCCGTGGAAACTTGGACCAGTCATTTAGATTTCTGTGTGCACAGCAGTTTGTTCAGATGCCACATGGACTCTTCCTTTTTTTTACTGTGTTCATCTCTGAATTTCTGTAATTAACTTCTAAGCTAGCATTTTATAACTCACTTTGCCAAACCAGAGCAACTTTATTAATAATTTAAGCTTCTTTAATATTCTAGTTTCATGATTCCAAATAATCATATTATATAGTAAAGGGTACATAATTCAAATGATAATGTAAATATTTTAAAAATATGCCCAAGATATTTTTCAAAATCTTCCTATTATATTTAATGGGAAAATTATCATATCAACTCTAAATAAATATAAATTGCTCAGTAAATGTAAGCTACTAGGAATACTAATTAATGGGACAATAAGTGAGATGAAATAATCCCTTATATAGCTCATTTGTCTATTGTAGAAAAAGTAGGCTAAAATAATATATAATTTCTTCATATAGATATAGCTAAAAAGATGAATGTACAAGCCAGGCATGTTGGTGCATGTTTGTATCCCAGGACTCATGAGGCTGAGGCCAGAGAATCGTAGCCAGTTTAGGGCCATCCTGGGCTACACAGTGAGTTCAAAGACAGCCAGTATTACATAGTAAGATTCTATCTGAACTGCCCTCCACCACTTTCAAAAAATATACAAACAAATTTTCCATTTGGATATTTTTTGCTTTGTTTCTACAGTCAAGTTTATTGACATTTTCCATTTGTCTCCTTCCTAGAACCAAATATGGAAATTAAACTGGCTGTGTGAACTAATTCATAATTTTTAAAGATAATATTAATAAGCGTAGCATTATAATGTCATTGTAACCCAACAGCCCCTATAAGTTCTGTGTGTGTGTATATGTGTCTGCTTGCTTGTGTATATGTAGTTTAATTCCTCTAAAGGAATCAGGACTCAGTTTCTCTGTTTGCTCAGGTAGGTGAAGCACCAGGCCCAGGACTAAGTGAGTCAGTTAAGAACAACATGGTTTACCTTACTATGGCTTTACCCATATTGAAAGTTGAAAGAATGCTAAAATAGTGAAGGATGCTGGCAAAAGGCAAAATAATTTACTTTCAGTAGAACTGGTTTACATGACGGAGCTGCATTGTACAATGAATAAGAACTTCAGCACCTGCACTCAAACCGCCTTCTACTGACAATTAGGTGCTTTTTCTACTATTTACTTCTCCAATCTGATAAATAAGAAAATAGTAATAAATACAGTCATACCTACTGTACAGTATTTTTGTGCAGAGCAAATAAGATATATAAAATGCCTTAGCACATTTTCTGACACAGAATTAGTACTTAATAGTTGCTAATTATTATAATTACTGTTGATATATATATAAGGTCATAACTGCTTAAAACAGAATTCTAATTTCCTTCAAAAGTGCTGTCTTCTTTTAATATGTTTTACCCTACACTGGGATTGTTGTAACTAAATATTTTTATAAATAGATTTCTCATTTCCAACAGTTTTTAATTTTCAGAAAATTTGCCAAGAGTACAAATAGCTTCTGTGTATATACCTCTCCCAGGTTTTTCCTTTTCTTAACACGTTACATTATTAGTGGGACATTTTCAGCTCACTTGCCAAGTAGCCTTGGATAAATGTCTTTCTTGAAATTGATTTTTCTCAACCATGACTATAAATGCTCAATCTTCTATTGTAAGGTATCACATAGGATAATGAAAATGTAAATTCTTTGAGCTCTAAAAGGTTTATGTGAGTGTAGTTATTTATTACTAGTAATATCAATCATGTCCATTTCACATGTTTAAAGTAATGAAAAATGGTAGAGGATATGAATATGAGTTGAAAAAAAAATTTTGCTCTAATTTCATTTAAGGGAGTAACCTCACCAGAATTTCAGTTTGACACTTGCACCTTTTTGCTGACTCTGTTTTGAAAGTGGGTTTCCAGCTGAGGTGTATTGAATAGCTCTGTAGCCATGGTCACCAAATACTGATAAAAATTTGGTTCCTCAGTCACACTAACACAGTATGGTTAAAAACAGTCAAGGGGTTATGTTCAACAGCACAAGTAGGCTATTCTCATTACCATGGGGAAAATCTTATTGGATAACGCCATTTGAGGATTTCCCCTTAGCCCTGAAATTTTTCTTCCTACTTCCTATAATTCATCTGGTTCTTTGTGCCACTTCCTGCTCTCTTCTTTAGCAGCTTTACAGGGATCCCCATTTACAGTCCTAAAATGAATCCCTGTACCAAAGGTCAGATCGCATCAAATAGCACCAGCAAATAAAAAACTTACTGTCAGCAGTCCCATGAATTATTAATATATTTTCTTCTTTTAAGCCATGTATATTATGCAGCACGCTGCATGCCTATAAAGACAAACACAAGTATTTGTATCTGCAGCCCTATCTCAAGAAGTAATTTGACTTCATCTTTTTGACAAAAGTGCTCTTCTTTGTCATTTTTAAATTAATTACCTGGTAAGTACTTTCTTCCTTAGATGGCATGCCAAGGTATCTTTCAGAGAAAGCAGAAGCTGTGGCCCAAAAGAACAGAAATTCAAAAATAAACTAAAAATGTAGCATATTTTATTATTTATTTCTACATTTTAAATTTAATTATCAGGCTCCAGTGAGATCGACTGAATCAGAGCTGGTCTAAACAATTCAAAACAGGATTTAATAACACGATAAATGAGCACAATGGAGCTCTTCAGTGGGATTTTGTTTTCTACAAATCAATAGCCCATATTAGGCAAGCCCATACTCACCATACAATTTCATGTCTGTGATGGGTGCAACCACTGATCCACATTTAAAAAGCTTTTCATCTGACTTTAAGATCATTGATGCAATGTATCCACCATACCCCTGGATAAAAAAAAAAAAAAAAAAAAAAAAAACAAGAAAAAAACAACTCTTTCTTGGGATATTTTTAGCTTCTGATCACTGAAAATGTACACATCAGAATTTCTCTTAATATATCAGACTTGAGAAAAGAATGAACGACAATCACTATGCAGATAAAGATTTAGAACAGTTGCTTAAATTTATATAAGAAGTTATTTTAATAACTTTACAATATATAAAATTACTTGTATATCAATAATGTCAAATATTTGTTCAGTGATTCTGTACTGTATAACTAGGAACCACTCCAAATAATTTGAAACTAGGAAAATAAAGCACTTTTAAATCACACATCATTTTACGAAATTGTAGTTTATCTAGTTTTAATAAAATAGTTAATAACAATGATGTTTATGCAGAAGTAGCAAGGAAAACAAAATATTTAAAACATCATCACAAATATAAATTCTGCTTTTAGTTTCTGATGGAGTTTAGCAAACATCACCCCAAATTATGACTGTAGGAGACCAGAATCTGGTTTTCTGGCATAAGGAGCATTCTTAGCTGATTATTTTGAGAACTGTTACACATAGTAGCAGTTCCAAAAACAATGCTAGAGGTTGTGAAAGAAATTTGTATGCATAAGACATTTTCATTTTGTAAGGATATCTGCTATTTACATGTCATCCCTGGAGAAAGTACTAATTTAAATCTGCATAACAAATCCCACCTGCCTTTTATGGTGCTTTTACTGGTAATCTCCTCTACTTGGGTGCTTCCTCATCCCCTCTTCCTTTGTTTTAGAAAGAAGGAATTTAAACCTTACCTCCAAGACAACACTCTGATATCTAGTCTAGAGATCTGTCATTTGTCGATCTTTCATGCACAGGGAAGCATATGTGCTCCTACACTTCTGTTTTTCCCTTATGGATTTTACTTTTGTTACAGAGTCCTACTTAAGAAAGCATGAAGAATAGAGGAGAAAATTACTTTTCCTTCCACTACATTCTAGGCAAACAAATATTAAAATACATGTGATATAATGAATAGTGTTGCTAGTTAGATGACTTGCATTATTGTACAAATTTAATTTTAAAAAATTATGTTTAAATGGTTTGAACGGATAGAGAAAATTTCTTTTTTTGGGTACCAGGGATTGAACTCAGGTCCTTGCGCTTGCAAGGCAGGCCACCGAACCGCTGAGCTAAATCCCCGGCCAAGAAAAAAAATTTTTAAAAACTAAATCAAAATTTCCAGTTTTTCTTTTTTTTTGCAACCTAGTATCTGACCAGAAAAGCTTCAGAAGTCATTTTAATAATTTACAGATATGCTATATACTAAAAAGACTACTAGTACTGAGTTTTACATTTTAGAAATCAATCGTTAGTGTACTTTGAATAATGTTCTTTATTCTGCTGGATATCATATCATGGGAAATAGTAAAAGATAGTAATACTCAAGACTTAACCCCTGAAATTCTGATGCAATTAGTCAGAATAAGCCCAATTTTGAAAAATTTTTGGATGTCTCAATAGCATTGAGTTTCATGGGGATCTGCTATTTTCACTGAACTTTTGAAGGAAGAGATATTTTTCTTATGTTTATGTGAAGTAACTTAAAAATTAGCACATTAGCTTCCCTAACGCAGACACTGCTGATGCGGTGGAGCACCATGTGTCATTTTGGACCTGGAATATTGAGCAGTATTCAGAAGGTTGACTGAAGTTTTTCTGACAATTATGCATCAAAGGACGAATACCATCCTTCATGGATTTTAACTGCTACAAAGTATATTTGCTTAGTCTCATGGAGAAACAGCAAAAGTCACAGATAACAAAACTGGTAATTAGTAAGTATATTATATCTTAACAAAAAAATATAAAGGAATGAAGGCAAGCAAGGAAATAAATGAGTATTATAAGACAAACGAAGGGAAAATTCTTGAAACTTCTATTTCTAGAAGGAACATTTCCAGTATATTGTTTCTTGCTTTCTTTTACGGAGTTAACAGGATGTTGAAGCTTGGAGGTTTCAAATATCTCCCTCCGGCGTTACTTTTTCCTAGTGTGTGCAGAGCACACTTTTCTGGTCTGAATTCCAGGATGGGAAAACCCACTTTCAAATGATAATCATTGGGCTTCTTATGTAACCTCAGTACTTTGAAAGAATAACTGAACATCATAATCATAAAATTGTAGTTTGGAGAGCTGTATATCACATTTAAATATTTTAAGATAATAAGTTGGCATTGTGTGTTTTTGTTTGGTTTTTACTTCAGTTTCATATACCTTTCAGATTCTGATTATCTTCAGGAAATAAGAAGAGTAGCTTGCAAAGGAGGGGCATATTCTAGAAAAATACTTCTAAACTTGAAAATTCATTCACTGGCATAAAAAGACACGAAAAGACCAACTAGGATAGTATAGAAATCAGAAATAAACCTCAACTTTTCCACAGGGAATGGAGAAGAAATAATAGGCAATGTTTATTTGATATATGGTGCTGGAAAATTGATTTTCTACACATAAAAGAATGAAATTATACTTTTTTCATACATCACACATAATAATAATCAACTCAAAATGGATAAAAGGCCTACATGAAAGACCTAAAACTGTAAAACCACGAGAAAAGAACACAGGGAATAAGCTCCTAGGCATCGGCCTTGGCCATAGATTTTAGGGTATCATGTTGAAAACTCAGGCTATAAGAGCAAAAGTAAATGGGACTATGTCAAACTAAAGACGTTTTTTATACAGCAAAGAAAACAACAAAGTGAAACTGGCAGAAAATTCATTAGAAAAATACTGGCAAGCCATATATTTGATAAAGGTTCATCCTCAATTGATAGGAAAAAATTGATAAAACCCATACAACACAATTGAAAAATTAGCAGAGGATCCAAATTGACACTTCTCCAAAGATGCCACAAAAATAGACAACAGGCAGAACAAGGGGCAAAACATCAGGAATCATTAGGAAGAGGCAAGTTCAGCCATTATGAACTATCACTTCCGGTAGACTAAGATGGCTATAATAAAAAATGACAAGAGACAGAAGTGTGCTCAAAGGAGAAAAGGAGCCATTGTGCACATTTAGTGTGAATGAAGGTATTTATGTCTATTAAGGAATACACTGTGAAGATTTCTGAATTAATTAAAGACAGAACTAATGAATGACCCAATAACTCTCCTTCTGGTAAATGGCAAAAAGAAAATCATAACCTCATAGATATCTGCACTGCTATGTTCACTGCAGCGTTATTCCCAGGGACCAAGATGTGGAAACAAAGTGTCACATATGAAAAAATAATGCAAGTGGTCTGTATGCACAATGGAATAGTTTTTCGGCCTTTACAAAGTAGATCTTATTATTTTCCCCAGTGTAGACGAATTTAGAGAACATTATGCTAGATGAAAAGGAAGATAAGCCACGAACAGTCAAAGCCTGCATTATCTCTCTTACGTGTGGAATCTGAAACAATGAAGTTCAGATATAATAATGACAGAGAATGCAATAGTGACTGTCAGTGGTATATATCAAATATGTACCAGGTTTACATACTTGATTCTTCAAGTATCAGATATGTAGGATGAAAAAAATCTAAATATGGAATGTACACCATGAGGCTTACAGTTTAAAACATATATATACATATATGGGACTTTTGCCAAATGGGTAATGTTATTAGTTGTTTTTGCTACAAACCAAAACTGACAAAAAAATGAGATGAATGATCATTAGCTTCAATATGGTAACTACACTATTAGTTGATGTATAACATCATATTGTACACCTTTATATGTACAATAAACATTTGAGAAAAAAGTTCACTTGGGAATTTTATTAATATAAAGATTCTATTTCACTAGATTTAGGGTCGGTGAAGGATTTTTCATTTTTGCAAACTTTCAAGGGCTACCTGTGGGACAGATCCACATTTTGGGTAACAAATTCATAAAGCATAATAATATAATAAAGATCCCTAACAGAAATGTCTTCCTTGTTATTGCTTTCATTCCCTAGACTGGTGGGACTTTAGAAAAAAACCAAAAAACAAAAGAACAAACTCACAAGTCATTAAGAATAGCAGCTTTGAAATATTGGTGATCCCAGTGTTGGATCATTTATCCCAAGAACTGAATTTTAGCTTTTTTTAACATCCACTTACTCTGGCAGTCTTAACCCTTTTCCCCAATTGAACTCTGACTTTTGTGCTCTGAGAAAATATCCCACGGTACTGGGTTCTCCTTAACCATCTGTCTTCTTTCTAATCTGGGTAAATTTCTGCCATGGCTGCCTTACTGACAATGTGAAATAGGAAGAAAAGGGCTAAAGGTGTAGGGGAAATGGGAAGGGTAGGGGAAAGGAAATATTGGAAAAGAAAAAAAACATGAGAAAATGAAAAAGTAGAAATAAAGTATTTGTAAACAGGGAAGGGAGGAAGGGGTGAAGGGAGGGAAGGGATAAGGGAAAAAAATGAGAACCAAGACCTGTCATGTAAAGGTACAAGATCCCAATGAGGAATAGAACTGTACACCTAAAATGTACCAATAAACTCAATGAGGAAAAAAATACAGAAAAAAATGTACTGTACATAGTTTCTATTAAATGTTAAAGAAAATATGAAATAAGAGAGACAAATAGGAAGTAAGGAGAAGTTCTAATTATGCCATAAATTGTATATTCCATGGTTTCAAAAATATTTCAATATATATGTTAATTTGTTTCATTTATACTGCTCAGGTCCTCTTAGTTTATTGAAGAGAAGTTTTTGTGCTATTACCTATTTGTTTCTTTTTTTATAACAGTTTTTTGTCTATGACTTGTCTACTCTAACATTTTGGCCATTCTTTTAGGATTATGGTACACAATGTATTAATTAATGTTATTCTTCAATCAATTTGTTATGAAATTTGGCTTTATTTTTCATAGAAGTAAGAAGACTTTTAAAAACTATTTCCTTTATCTACTTGTATTACATTGAAATAAAAATTTAAGGGGCTGAAGATTTAGCTCAG